ATGTTAACCAGTGGCAATTCGGAAAGTTGGCCGGGCATGACTGTGTGACACTGTTCCCAAAGATCCATGCAAATGCAGCATCACCAAACAACATCCCCTCAAAATGCAAGAAGAAACAGAAAGACTTCCCTGACTCTCTTATATCATGTCCCTTTTCACATCAGTTCACCCTGGGGTACCTTCAAGTCTTTTAGCAACTGGCAGACTGGGAAGACCAGGCCTTTCCTGCAAAAGGGACCTCCCCCACAAAAACTCACCAAGAGCAGCTGTCACTTTGAAGGGGAGAGCTGGCATTATGTGCTACCTGTTTTTCTCCAGTGTGGTGCTAAATGCAGGATGGTGACAGTATCCAGTCCTACACAAAATGGAATTAGCAATAGTGTTCTCAGAAGGTATAAAAGACTGAGGCCCAGTACAGGTTTGTTCATTCAGAAACCAGCTCCAGGGAAAAAGAGACTCAGAAACCTGATTTTTTTTTTTGTAAATTACAGTGGGTGTGAGTTCCCGGATAAACAAGACTGAACATCAGTGTGCTGGGAACAGCTGATATACCTACTGCTGCTGCCAGCATCCAGGTTATCTGTGTCAGCTCAGAGCAGGAGGGCACAGTCCCACAGCAGCAAGGGAGCTCTGCCCACCCAGCCCAGGCACACAGCCTCATCCCCTCCCTGGCACCAGCTCTGTGGCTTGGTGTACACTGTGCCAAGCATTTGCTGGGCAAAAAGTGAACCCGTGGTTTTCTGCTGTTTTATCTGCTCCACTGAGGATTTGGTCACCCAACCCTCTTGTGTGAGCATGTGAGAAAAAGCAGGTCAACACCATCCTTAAGCTGCCAAGAAGCTGCAGGGTATTTGCAGACCACAGATCAATTTAGATCATGCCTTGCAGTACAGAAGTCCAAACAGGCAGAGGTAAACACAAGAGAGAGGAGAGGCAGGTGCCCTTGGATCAGGACAAACTACTTCTGCCCAGCTACAGTAACTTCATCAGCAGTTAAAGCAGGAGAAGAAGGTGTGCAATGGATGCTCCCCCTAAACTGTTGGCACTTCTGAGGTCCAGTGTACAACCTGGCTTGGCGGGAGCTCTAATCTTCTCCAGATTGATGCCACCTTGGCCCTGACCTTATCCAGTGAAAGTGTCATCAGGCAGGATCAGTCCACATAGTCACCCTGTCTTGTGTTCTCACAGCTGACAGTATCACAGGGAAATCTTTCTATCATCAGAGAAATAACGAGCCTTTCTCATTGCCTGACACGTGGGAGTATTTACTCACAGCAATAAAGAGAGGATTGAGGTGGCTGAAGGTGTGGTTTGAATCTAGAAAGTCTGGCAAAACTGCTGGGAAGTGGTGATGGCTGATCCCTGCCCTAGTTACAGAGGGTGATCTCAGATGTGAGGGTTTGACTCCACTGTATAGCCAAAGGAAAACCTCTGGTCACTTGCATCTCTGGTGTTGATTCATTTTTGGTTTGGTTGGTTGTTTTGGGGTTTTTTTGCATGCAAAGGAGAACAAATCGGTCCTTCTTACTTGTGGGGAGACCTCAGAGTGATCAGAGGGACAGAGCAGCAACTATTATCCTCTCTATAAAAACCATCTGGAAGCAGGGAGTAAACTAAGGATGAAAATGAGCATGGTACTTGCCCTCCTCTTTTTGCCTTCCCCCTTTGTGCAGTGGGAGGGTAGATAGTGGGCTCTGGGCTTGGGCTGCACAAGCAAGGCAACATCTGCTCTCAGGGTACTGCAACATTTGTATGATCCTGGCGTCTGCTGGTATGCCAAAGGCCTGGGAGGAGCAGCTGAACAGGAGTTAAAATATCAGTGCGGGTGCAGCAAGTGGGAAGGCCAAAAACAGCCATGAAATCCAGGAAAGAGAACAGATAACAGCAAGGAAATGGCAGGTGCTGGGTGGGGGGGTGACGACACCAAGGCCACACCACCGATAAGGCCACCACACAGACGTGAGTGACGTGATGCAATCCGATTTGGACTCCTGCCATCTGTGCCCACTCAGAAGCCTGCAAACAGAGCTGCACTCTCCTTGGAGGGGAAAGGTGTGATAAGGGCTCACGATGCGACGGGTGATCCCAGGTCAGTGTGTGGACATGGACTGGTGGGTGCCAAGGGAACAAGCACAAAGGCAAGGGCAGAGCCACAAGCGAACAAGGATGAGATTGGTTTTGGAAGTAGAAGTCTCCTTCCTTGTTGCCACTGTTTCCAGCACAGTTTATCTGCCTTGCTGGTGACAAGACTGGGACCTTCAAACCTGCCCCTCGTACGCATCTTGCTGGTAAAAGTGCAGGGAGGATGTGGCAGAGCCAGCTGGAGCCACATGGCCAATGTGAGGGCAAGCAGCCACCAGAACACCTCCTGTCTCACCCAAAGAAGAATTCCCCCACCTCTTCTTCGAGAGGGACGGGAGGCAGGACTTTTGTTAGGGGTTTCAAGCTTGTGCTTGCAACAGAGAGAAAAGCCAGAAAAGACGAAACCAGTTTGCAAGGGGTGATTTCCCCTTTGTCATCTCTTAGCATGTCATTTTAATTTGCCCTGTGAAGGCAGTGGCATTTCAATATCACTGAGAAATGAGGTGGAGGGAGATCAAGCCTCATATCACGCAACAGCTTTTCCATAGCCCTGCTGATCTCCAGCACAGAGAGCACACAGACATTTCCTGCTGCCCTCCATCCAAGGAGAGTGATCTGGAGCACACAATGTGTTCCAGCAGCACAGCCCCAACATGTTGCTCCTGTGCTGCTGCTGCCATGATCCAAAGAACCAGGCCATGCTTGGGACTGGAGCCACAGCAGGGTTCTTTGCAGCAGCAGCACCAGAGGCATTACAATCAGCAATTGGGTATTGGTTTTGGTAGTAAAGATTTTGAAGACTGTAAAGGCCCATGATAGCCCTCATCCAGGGCTGTGCTGTGCGTTGGTGTGGGAGCAGCTTGCAGGAGGTGGCTCCACGTTGACCATGTAGCTGAGTGTTGGCTAGGACCAAATTTGCAAGATGGAAATCGAAGGAAATACATGCATGTGTGCTGGAGAGTGACATCTGCTTGTGCCATGGGCCCAGCATGCTGGTGGCAGGGCCCTTCAGGGCTCGCCCTCCAAGCCTTGTGCACAGCAGGGTTTGGTCAGGGCATCCGTGGCTTTATATGTGACCCACAGAGGATGGAGATCTCCCACCTCCCTGCTGGTTTGGGTTGTTCACCCTCTGGGGTAAGGTTTCTTTCCTGACTCCTCACCTGAATATCTCAGGGCTGAAGTTGCTTTTTATTCTGTCATATCGCACTACCAAGAAGAGATTGGCTCCATCAACTTCCCTTTCAGCTGTTGTAGGCTGCTATCAGATCCCCCTTGGCCTCCCTTGTACTAGACTAAACAAGCCCAACAGGACCCCATGTGCCTCAGGAAAAACTGCTAATGCAGTTAAATATTTACTTTAGTTGAGGGATTTCCAAAGTGGAATAATAATAAAAGCCAAAGGTTATTGAACTGTGTAAACTCCATGAAGAGGGAATATGAAACATGTGCACAGCTGCCTCAGCAGAACGGAGGAATGGTTCTGCAAGAGGAACCCTGAACTGGTCACCTTCTCCCTTCCCAAGACGTGGTCACAGCCCTACTGGGTTGCATGGAAGGGCCTCCCAATGGCAAGGACATGAGCAGCCTCATGCAGGGCCCACACCTCTCCAGCTATGGGCAATGCTCACCAAGCTGTTCCCTTTTGTCTCAGACAGACAAGGCCAGCCTGTATCTTCCTGTGGGGAGGAGATGTCCTAGGCACAGTCACAGTCAGATCCTCAGCAAATGCAAATGTTTGGTCTCTGTGTGCCTGGAGGTCTCCAAGCCTGCTTGTGGTTTCTGTAGGACACCTACCCCATGTCCACCCTTTGCACACATGGCCCATCCTACCTGCTCCCGTGGGGAAGGAGAGACCCTTTGTCCCTTCTGGCCCAGACCTCATCTCAGCAAGTCTGTCCCAAGGGAGTTTTTTAGTCAACACTGACTTTCTGCCCAGTGGTCCTCTTTCCCATCCTTCACCCTTCACCAGCTGATTTTGTTTCATGAAAGGAAGATTGGGACAGATGTGGAAAATTCAGCTTCTGAGAAAGAGATGATACTCACACAGAAGGACTGGCATCAAGCATCCAGTCTGGGAGGCAAAGCAGCTGGGCTCTTCTTGAGTGGTGATGTCTGTTGAAAAGACTGTGTCTCTTACCACTGAGGATCCTCTCCAGCCTCTCTGTCCCCTCTGTGCTCTGTGTGCCACCTCTGTGTATTTGATCTGGGTACCCACACACACAGCTCCCTTCCAACACACTGAATAATTTTGCTCTGTCAATCTCAGCTGCAACCAAACTGGTGAGGTATTACAGCACTTTTGACTATGTGGCAGTCACAGGCAGTGACTGCACGTGCAGCTCCCTGCTCCCACTCAGCCAAATTTTGTTCCCTCCAGCCCCTCTGTACCCCCAGCCTGTCCCATCCCACCCAGTACCTAGGTGGGCTTGCTGCAGTGTTGATGGCAGGCCTCCTGTTGTGTTTGGGGTCCTACCCAGTGTGTCAGGCCGCTGAGTATCCACCTGGCTGGGTCTCATGGGATAATGCTCAGGCCACAGTGCCACCACCCAAATCATCCTGAATTTCCGGGCTTTTCTGTGTGCAGTCTCACCACTCAAACAGAGATACCTGTCATGTATGAAGAATAGCAGCTGCAAAGGGATGGTTTGGGCAAGATACACTCAGAAGTAAGGTGGCTGGGGTAAGTGGAGAAGAGCAGCCTTGCCCAGCTCTGAATACTGTGCAAAGGGATTGTAAAGCAGCCTCCAGTGCTGTCACCTGAAGCTGGCAAGTGGCACAGGAGAAGCTTATCAGTTGCACGAGAGTGCCCAAGTGATCCATCCCTCTGGGTGTACAGTCCAGCTGCTACCAGCACAGATCAAAATGCTGCTTTTCCCAGCACTCCTGAGATAAGCTGGTGCCCTCCCTTATAAAGGCAGCCAGAGCGAGGTGCCCGAGCGTGTCTACCTGAACCAACCATGGCTGTGAGGGACCTGGTGGTGGTGGTGGCAGCAGTGGTGACTCTGGTTGCTGCCGGCGGTAAGTCTGCTCTGCTGCTTGAGGGAATGACAGAAGGACCAAAAGTGGGTGACAGGGAAGAAAGATCCAGAAATTCTGGTTTGGAGAGAAGGTGAGGAGGGCAAACAAACAGTGGCAGCATGGTAAGGAGGGACTGGAGCAAACACACCGTACCTTCCTTATTAGCAGTTCAGGGCAAGGATTGCAGGCTGGTTCATCAACTGTATTTCACCTGGGAGAGGGATGGGATAGGGAGAGTTCACAATGTGAACAGGAACCGGGTCCTGGGAGGACAGCACGTACACTGGGGTGGCAGATACTATAGTTACTGCTTCCATGAAGACTGGCAAGTCTTTGCAAGAACACTATGTGCTCAGCAGATTCATGTGGAAAGCACCTGTTTGTAGGCACTGGAAAGCCACTGCTACCTAGGTGCATGTAGGAGTGGTCCTGCACCAACCTGTGTGAGATCCTTCATGTCCTTAGATGGGCACAGATGGGCTGTGAACTGTTGCTACTACTCTGCCCGACTGAAAAAGAAAGACCCACCGAATGCTGCTCTCCCTAGGGATTGCAATTGTCCAGCTGTGCAGCATCACCAGCCTTCTGAGGATACTCTATGCCCCATACAGTGCTGCCTGGTTTCACGTTTCCTGAGATGTGTTGGATGCTCTGTGGAACTTCTGGTCCAGAGACTGGGAGAGAGGGCTGTTGGAGGATGGTTTACTGGGTAGGAACAGCCGTTTCCAGCTTTGCCCCAGCCAGTGCAGCTGTGGATGGAAGCTGTGTACTGTGCTGCTGTCAGGGGGAGTGGGGCTGGCATGCAGCAAACTGATTCCCCCTCAGGAAACCCACACAGCTGATTCAGGTCTTGAGTGGGCTCTGCACAACACTGCTTTCCCTTTGGTTTGGATGTGATCCTCTGTCGATGACTTGTGCTTCTGCCATCAGTCACAGGTGTGCCATGCTCATGGGTCTCTGCTCTATTTCAGGGGCAGAGCTGAATGAAGAGAGTGGCCTGAGAAAGGTAAGAGGTTTCTGGTTTTTTCCTTGTTCATGGCTTGAGATGGATATGCCTGGTGTTCCTGGGAGAAAGACTGTTCCCAGCAATCATCCACAGACTCATGGGTACTGGTGTTCCAGCACCAAACCCACATCAAATCCCAGGCTGTGAGTCCCACTGAGGGCTGTGGTGGCCTCTGTGGGCATGCCCTGCCCCATTTGGAGCAGAGGGAACCAGGTTGCCAGTGGCACTTGCTCCTGCCTGGGCGTTGTGGGAGGAAGAGACGGGTCCTGCTGGCACTGAAATGTGTGCTGTGGTTTCTCCTTTCAAGCCGGTGTGTGCAGACATGGTTGACCTGCAGGCTTGCCCCCTCCTGTACTTGCCTATCTGTGGAACTGATGGGAATACCTATGCGAATGAATGCCAGCTCTGTGTGGAGCAAAAGTAAGCTCATGCCCTTGGCAGAGACCTCCTGGGTCTAATTTAGGCTATCTTGGGCAGTTGTGAAATACTGTCATTCATGCCTGGGAAAATCCATGGCAGACTGCACTTGCACGGCAAATAACACAAACCGTGTGTTGGGCTGCAAGGGGGGGACGGATAACCAGCTTGTCAAGTGAAGCTGCAAGGAAATTGGAGGAGCTGCACCCAGCTAGTCTGGGGAAGGGGAGGCCTGGGGGTATCTAGCAGCAGCCTGCAGTTGCAAATGGGATGGAGCCACTTCTTCTTGGTAGTAGCAAGTGATACAACGTGGGGCAACATCCACAAGCAGCAGGTCCAAGAGGATGAAAATTTGACACAGGGAAAACCTTTTCCCCAGGAGGGTGGTGCACCATGGAGGTGTGAGGAGGGGGTCTCCATTCTTGTGGGGTGGTGGTTAGGGCTCAGACAGAGCCATGGCCACTGTAACCTCACACTAGGGACAGCCCTGCTGTGAGCAGGCTGGGCTGGAGACCCACCACAAGTGTCACAGGCCCTGGGAGGGGACATCTGTGAACCAGGATGAGCTGCAGTCACCTCAACTTTTTAGACAGGAAAATGAATAAGCCTATTTTGTAACAGTCAGTCCCATTCCATTTGATGGAATGCAGCCAAAGTATGACTCGCAGACTATTTTTTTATCTCTTACTCTTTTTTCCTGTATTATTTTAGGAAAACCAGGCAAGACATCCGGATTCTGAAAGATGGGGAGTGTCAAAATACCTGAGCTTTCTGATAGCTTTCCTGAACCTAGAAACAGGTGATTAATTGATCCTGTGTGCTCTGTGCTGATTGGACAATTACGTTAGCTATGGTAAATAATAAAAAATAACATGTACAATCTTATTTAAACAGCACTTTTTTATGCAAGGCTGAGGGAAAACACGACAAGCCAGTTCCCAAAAAGGGCTGCTAAAAGTGTAGTCAAAACATTAATTTCAAATCCACATCACAAAACAGGGTGTTTTGCGCATTACCTCACCCACATTACTGTGAGAAAAGCCGTGGAGGAGTAGCAAGAAAAACACAAATCCTTGTGAAGACAGTGCTGGACAAGTGCAGGTTTTTTTTCTGTAGGAGGCAATTTAGCAAAGGGAAAGTAAAGTTTTTTCAGGGTGAGAGAAGATGTCTCCCTGGCTCACTAGTAAACTGCTTCACTGCTTCCAGAGGTGATGTAAATTGAAAGTAGTAACATCTGCACTTCTCAGATGTTATTCAGCTTTTTATCCAAAAGCCTTTCACATACCAATCAGCTCAGACAACACATGGGAGCATGGAAAGAGCTTGAGTGGAGAAGCTGAACACAAGAGACCCCAGGTCTCTGCTCCAGCACTTGAGAGCAACCTTCAAACTGAGCCAATTTCAGGTCTTGGTTGCTCCTGGTGTCAGGGCCACCTTTGAGACTGTGGCAGGGCTCAGTCCCACAAGGGTAACAGTGTCAGTATGCATCAGCAGTCTCTGGGGCTCCCTCTGCTCTTTCATCTTCCACTTCTACCACATGGTCCCCAACTCACCTTTCACAAAATCCTTGTAATGAGGTTGTACACCTTGGGTGTGCAAGGGGCCCTCTTTGCTCATAGTGACAGCTATCAGAGGACACTGGCTAATCCAGGACTTGTCTCCTGAATTCAGTTCAGTCCTGCACCAGATGTTGTATTTCTACAGATTTACTAGCTGAGATTACAGACCAGCTTTGAAGAGTGTTTCAGTGTGAACTGACACCCTCCAAGGATAGGCATGTCTTCACCCACAGGAGATCATGCTGCTCTGACTTGCTACTATACTATAGTTGTATACTATACACGTCTTATTTGCAGGCATCTGAGTAAGCATAAGGGGTGCATCATATGGTCAAGTGAGCTCCCTGAAGTCAGTGACCATTCTGCAAGTCTGGGAGCTGTGCTAGTGTTGTGGCTCCTGTGCTTGATCAGCTGGAATTCATCCCCTCACCCGGTTCTGCACTTTGCTGGAGCCACCAGATGGGACACTGCAGCACCATAATGCACAACAAAGCCATTGCTGACAGATTTAATGCTGCACCAGGAAATAGTACTGAGGAGCATAAAACAGCCATACTCAGTCAGATGGATTGCATCCACCATTTTCTGTCCCAGAGGCAGCTGCTGTCATCAAAAGTTTTCTCTCCTTAAAAAGTTCTTTACCAGGCTGAAAAGTCCTAGCCCAGCTCAGGGTTGTTTTAAAAGCTTTGATCGTCCCTGTTTTCCTTTCCTGGACCCTTTCCACTTCTGCAGAGGAGGAGACACAGCTTGCCCACCCGTCCATGGCTGCTGCTATTACACCACTTGCTCATTTGCCCTGAGGCTCTGCAAGCCTCTTTTTCTCTTTTCTGTCCTCAGGTAGCAAGGGAGAGGTGCTCTGGCTGTGTGTGCTGCTCTCTGCATTGCCAGGTCTTCTCTGCAGACCTTGGTGTCTCCTGTGCACCATAGGGAAGGGCTTTGGTGGGGTTATGACCCCCAAAACACTTCCACGGTGAACAACACGAATGTACGGCTCACTTCTGTCCTGGGGTTTTCTGCTCCTGCTGCTGCCAACCCAGCCACAGGCAGGATGTATTTGGGCAGCTCTATCCCAGCTTTCTGCCAGGGCTGAGGGGGAGGTTATGCCCAGCTTAGCATGGTGCATGACTGGGACCCATTCTCCTCCCAGAGTGGCTGGAGGTCACCAGTATCTCAGCCCCACGCCATGGCTCAAGCTGCACAGGCAGAGTGGCTGCAGCCCATCTCATATTCCCTGAGAGCCACATCTATTTATGTGCAGAGGCTAGGAAAAAACAACACAAACAGTCCAGAGGCTCTTCTGAAGAGGGAAACCACATGCCTCCAGCACAACGTGGAGTGTTTATTCAGAAACTGCAGAACCAAAGCACACACTTATAGGTCAGACCTGCAAGGTTAGAGCATGGGCAGCCACAGGACACTGTCAGTGTTGACTCTACACACAGCAAATTCAGAGGTACCAGTCCTCCCCAGGGACTGGTGGATTTGCCTGTTTATTTCACGTGGCTCAAAAGCAAGCTGCAGAGCAAGGGGAGGATGACGGGAATGGTTTAACACCACCACAGACCTCAGGGCCTGTGCAAGACCAGCCTGGTGCAGAGAGCCTGACTCTGAAGACTGGCAGATCTGTGGCTGGCAAGGTCAGGTGAGGCTCAGGAGGCAGCTGATGCACAGCAAAATGCCTGCAATGCCCTGATCTGTGCCAGAGGGTATGAATGTGGATTTGCACTTCTGCATACAGTTTTACCTGTTCAATTTATCCACCCGTTTCCCATCTTTTGATGTTTCAATCAAGGCAGGAAGAGGAAGGGATTATCTGTTTTCACAAGCACCATAGTTTGTCACACAGAACAACTGGTAGTTGGGCTCCCAGAGAAGTGTGTTGCAACCAGAAAGTTGCCTCCCAATGTGCCTCAAGTCAGGGAGTGAAGGACAAGCCTGCAAGTTTGTCAGATAAAAGTAGAAGTACCCTGATACTGTGCTAGGGTGGCAGTGGTGTAGCTTCCCCAGCTGCCCACGTTGATCCCTCAGATAACCCTGGGCTCAGGGCTGCACCCATGACTGCAGGGAGGGATATTTGTGTCTCTGGATATTTCCTTGCAGTAGCACTGCCAGATAGGGGAAAGAGAGATACACTGGAGGGTCATGAAGACCTTTGACTTATACATAGATCCAAAGCCTAGCGTTGTCAGGTCTACAGTGACAGCAGTCCCACCAGTATCAGGAGAGAGGCCCAGTGGCAGGATCCAGTCCTAGGTTCAGTTGTCCCTTGGACAAAACTTTTGAAAGCTATGTCATGGACTGGCAATGGTGAGATGTACTCAAGGTTGTGGGTGTTCCCCTACCAAGCAGCTCCAGTGACACTTGAGGAGTCTGTGACACTGGAGATGCTCAGGTTGCTGAACACCTAGTTGAATTCTTCCAGGTCCTTGTTTAAAAACTGGATACATCAGTGGAGGTGGTCCAGGGCTAGATGAACTGAAATGTGGAGTGAAAGAGGAGGGAAGCAGTACCTGGCACACTGTAAAGTGTCCAGCTGCAACAGTTCATGCAACCGAGACTGGCCAGAAATTTTAACCTAGTTTCACAAATTCATTCATAACAAAGGGGAGGCAGCTTTGGCCACATCTGCTAGGGAGCTCTGATGAAGAAGACATCAGTGCATTGCTAGTGCTGGTGGGGCACAGGGAGGCAGCGCTGGGCTCTAAAGTGAGCCCAGTGCCATTGTGGCTGAGACTCTGCTTCTTCAGAGCATAGATAACTCAAAACTAGGCAGTGGGGTCTGTAATTTCCATGTTTTTAGCTATTTTCAAAGCCTTCCCATGGGATAATAAAATCACTTCCTTGGGATTTAAAGTAAGTTACACACAAGAGACAAATCTCTTACAGAGAGTTCGGTCCCAAGAGATGCAAGCACAAGCTCTGTAAGATTTTAACACCCATCTATTTTGCATTAAACACCTCTAAAGACTCTGGGGGGCACAGTGGCTCTTTCTTGTACAAGTGCTCCCTTCAAAGTAGAAGATGGAGAATGGAGAAACATTCACAGCACCAGCTCTGCAGTATCATCTGCAATATTTTGCTGAGTCAAGAGTCACTTATCAGACCTCACCAGGCTTTGGAGTGACTGAGCAGATGATGGGTGTGAGAAGCTGAGTTAGCCACGGTCTGAGCACGCACCCAGTTCCTGTGGAGCAGTGAAACACACAGGGATTTCCACTCTTTCTTCCATGTTTCATATCACCTGCAAGCAGCCCAAAATATAGGATCATAGAATAATTTAGGTTGGAAAAGACCCTTAAGATCATGAAATCCAACCACTAATCCAGCACTGTCATGTCCAGCACTAAACCATGTCCCTAAGCACCACATCTACATGTCTTTTAAATACCTCCAGGGATGGTGAGTCCACCACTGCCCTAGGCAGCCTGTTCCAGTGTTTAACAGCCCTTTCAGGGCAGAACTTTCTCCTGATACCCCATCTAAACGTCCTCCAGAGCAATATGGGGTCATTTCCTCTTGTTATATCACTTGTTATTTGGCAGAAGAGATGGACCCCCACCTGTCTAAAATCTACTTTCAGGTAGCTGTACAGAGCAATAAGATCTCCCCTCAGGTTCCTTTCTGTCAAGCTCAACACCCACAGCTCCCTTAGCTTCACAGGACTTGTTTTCTAGACCCTTTACCAGCATCACTGCTCTCCTTTGAACACACTCCAGCGTCACAATTTCTGCACCTGGGACAGGGAAACCCTGGTTGTGTGTATAGACTGAGGAATGAGAGGCTGGAGAGCAGCACTGTGGAAAGGGACCTGGGGGTCCTGGTCGATGGCAAGTTGAATGTGAGTCAGCAGTGCCCTGGCAGCCAGGAGGGCCAACCCCATCCTGGGGGGCATCAGGCACAGCATCACCAGCCGGTCCAGGGAGGGGATTGTCCTGCTCTGCTCTGACCTGGAGTGGCCTCACCTTGAATATTATGTGCAGTTTTGGGTGCTACAATATAAGAATGATATTAAGCCATGAGAGAGTGTCCAAAGGAGGGCCATGAGGATGATGAAGGATCTGGAGGGGAAGCTGTATGAGGAGTGGCTGAGGGCACTTGGTTTGTTCAGCCTGGAGAAGAGGAGACCGAGGGGAGACCTCACTGAGGTTTTAACATCCTCATGAGGGGAAGCAGAGGGCCAGGTACAGATCTCTTCACTCTCGTGACCAGTGACAGGACTTGAGGAAATGACATGAAGCTGAGTCAGGGGAGGTTTAGGTTGGATATTATAAAAAGGTTTTTCACGCAGAGGGTGGTTGGGCACTGGAACTGGCTCCCCAGGAAAATGGTCACAGCACCAAGCCTGCCAGAGTTCAAGAAGCATTTGGACAATGCTTTCAGGCACATGGTGGGATTCTTGTGGTGTTCTGTGCAGGACCAAGAGTTAAACTTGATGATCCTGATGTGTCCCTTCCAACTCAGCACAATCTATGATCCTATGTGTTTGTTGTAGTGAGGGACCCAAAAAAGAACACAATGTTCAAGGTCTGATATGTTTCTCTCCTCCACAAGCAATGCCTTTGCACAGTAAAGCATCCTGAAGGATACAGTTTTCCAATGTTTGCATGACCAGGGTGGCCTCAGGGCTGTGCAGCCTCACACAGTGCTGGAACAAGGACACCCCCACCAGCTTGGGACACCCTGCCTTCACTTATGACTGAGATACAAGAAACTACTCTGAATGACTTGGAAGCCTCACATCTCTTTATGCCATCCATGTTCCTGGCCCACCCTCCCGTATCAGAGCGTTCCCATATCTGCTCTGCTGCCACCACCCTGCTGCTTCTTTTGGGGCTGTTAGACCTACCCCACCTCTGTGGAGGTACCACGTAATCTGTAGTGGACAGAGGGCAGGAGCCATAGAGCGAAGTGGTAACTCGGGATAAGCAGAAAGGCAACAGAGATGACCATGGACACCCAGGGTTACATCCTAAGACACCCACATGCATGAAGTTTCAAGCCCTGGAGTTTCCAGGGACCTAGAGAGAGATCCCTCTGAGAGCAAATGATGTACATTAAAAATAGAAAAGACTGGCAGAGACTGGAGGCAGGCCAGATTGTCTCTTTCCTGAGGAGCTGCTCTGCTTCAGGGCAAGTCTTGAGACTGTTCAAGGAGGTGGGATCATCCCTGCTGTGAAAGGCAGGCAATTCCCAGAGGACCTGGGGGTACAAGAACACTGTCAGGTTCTTCCACCAACTTTTGAGCCACTTTGAGTTCATGGGGGGCAGGGAGGGAAGGGATAAGGAGTGCAAGCACCTCACCAGTGCATAAGTAGTTGAGTGTCTCATAGAGATTGTCTACTCTTTTATATGGTTCCGAATCATGGGTCATCTACCGCCACCACCTGCGTCTCCTAGAACGCTTCCATCAACGCTGCCTCCGTACAATCCTTAACATCCATTGGT